CGACCACCGCCTTGATCTCGTCCTCGGCCAGGTCGGAGGGCACGGCCACGACCGCGCTCTCCCCGACGTCGGGGTGCTCGTTGACGACGCGCTCCACCTCGAAGCTGGAGACGTTCTCCCCGCTGCGGCGCAACGCGTCCTTCATCCGGTCGGCGAAGAAGAAGCGGCCGTGCTCGTCGCGGCGGAACGCGTCGCCGGTGTGCACCCACCCCTCGACCATGGTCTCCGCGGTCTTCTCCGGCAGCCCGTGGTATCCCCGCATGACCAGGCGCGGGTCCTCGGGGCGCACCCACAGCTCGCCGACGGCGCCGGTCGGGACCTCCGCACCGTCGGGGCCCACCAGCGCGAGGTCGTACCCGGGCCGCGCGAAGCCGCACTCCCCGCCGACGACGGAGTCCGGGGGCCCGACCAGCACGCAGCCGATCTCGCTCATCCCGTACACCGCCGCGAGGTCGATCCCGAAACGCTCGGCGAAGCCGACGACATCGCTCGCCAGCGGCGCCATGATCGCCAGCTCGAGGGGGTTGTCGGCGTCGTCGCTCGCCGCCTCGGCCTGTCCGAGCAGCTCGGCCATCGCCCCGAGCATGACGGTGACGGTGATGTCGTGCTCGCGCACCGTGGGCCAGAAGCGGCTCACCGAGAAGCCCGGCTCGAGGACGACCCGGCACCGGTGGATCAGCCCCTGGTAGACGCCGAACCACAGCCCGGCGATGTGGAAGAGCGGAAGGGTGACCAGCATGCGGTCGCCGCGACGCGGCCGGTCCTGGTCCTCGCGCGACGCGTAGGTGTACGCGTGGGCGTGGGAGATCATCACTCCCTTGGAGCGGCCCGTGGTCCCCGAGGTGTAGCCGAGTGCGGCGAGCTCGCCGGCGTCGACGTCCACCGCGGGCAGCGGGGCGGCCGAGACGACCTCGTCGAGGCCGACGACCCGCAGCGGCAGCCCCTCGGCGGCGGCCGGGTCGCCGCGGACGACGAGGGTGCGCAGCGCGGTGAGATCACCGGCGACGCGGGCGATCCGCTCGACGTAGGCGTCCTCGACGACGAGGGTCGAGGCCCGAGAGTCGTTGAGGACGTGGGCGAGGAAGTCGCCCTTGTAGGCGGTGTTGACCGGGACCTCGACCATGCCCGCGAGCCCGGTCGCCGACCACACGTGCGCCGCGTCGAGCGAGTTGTCC